AGTCCGGTAGGGATCAAGGAAAAATTGTCATCCTAATTATGAGTAACATTTCCATGTATGAGTAAAGTTGTTTTACACATACAAAAGCATGACTTGGCTATTATTAGAATTTATATTGACTTCTTATATCATGTTAAGTTTACGAAATTAGATTGAAATGAAACAACATTATGGAAAAGAGACTTATATATCATGCAATTTGAATGGTAGAAACATAAGATTATATAATTTTTATATGTTTACAGTTCTCAAAACCTTTAAAGTGCATATTTACTTTGACAATATAATGAAGCATATATATACAAGCTGGAGTCATGTAAATTATGAGTGTCCTTTTTTTTTTTGGTCATTTTCATCAGATTCATTTGGTTTCTAACTTTTAGGTGCAGATTGGGCTTTAACAACTTTGATCCATTGTGTTTTACATTCTTGCATTGATCTGCATTTTCACCACATTTATACAACCTAAGACCCTTGAGTGTATGCAGTAGAATAACATGATAATACTAGCTAGCTATCTATCCAGGATATATATTCATCACCCAATAAGGTATGCTGATCTAGCATCTTATCTCAAAATCTCCCAATATAATGAAATGTTTTCGATACAAGATACTACTATGAGGTGTTTGGTAAATAGCTTTTAGCTGATAGATGTTAGGTAATTGGGTTAGTAGGTTTGACTAGGTAATAGCATTAGCTGATTGTAGAATGACGTTTGGTAAATTAGCTGTTAGCAAATAGCTGATTATATGCAAAATGACTTTACCTAAAAGCTGCGCTGTTTTTTTGAATTTTAACATTTTGGAGCAATAAGGTGTTACAAAAAACTAATTAATCAAACACTTATATTGATTGTTTAACCAATTCAAACAGCTAATATATAGTGGTTAAATAAGCCAAAATTGATTGATAAACTAATTATGTTACCGAATAGGGTCTATATATCATCATCAGGACCTTTGACATGAAATTGACTCTGTTGCCAAACTGAAACATGTGCTCTATCTCAACTAAAAGTCTAAGTTGATAATTGTAGTAAAATAGGTATGTGTCCAATGTTTCTAATGTTTGTTTCGAAACCAAATGTTTACAGCAGCCCTAGCAAGACGATAGAACGCTACGAAACGAATTCCAAGAACATGGGAGTCCACAAAAGAACAGTTGAACAAAATATACAGGTCGGCTTTCATTATCCTTAATTACCTAGTTCTCTATCTAAGCTATCTAATGCTTTCTATTGATAGTGTGTGACTGAATGAACCAAATGGATTCCTTCTATCATTGCTTGACTTCTTTAATTTTGATTTTCTTTCTTTAAAGTTACTGCATGCATGCATTCATATTCCACGGATAAAATTGTAACATGTTTATCTAAGCAATTAAATTCGAAATAATAAAACTAAAACAGCTAGACTTTTGGTACGAGTTGAAGCTATCTGGAATAATAATAATTATTGACTTGTACCGATTGTATACCTGTTATAAACATGTATATCGTACATGATTGTAGCACTGATATAATTATGCATAGTATATATGCAATACTGAAAAGCTTCAGTAGTTTATACGTTGGTGGTTGTAGAAAGTTAGGGTTTTAGTCCGGGATGGAGCCAAAGGGGGGCAGGGGGTCTGCTGTCCCCCACACCTCACCCCCACCTCCACCCCCACCCCATATATAATTTTTGTATGTATATATGTATATATAGTATAGGTTTTAGTATTAGTATAAAAAAACTAGTAAATGTTAATATGTAAAGAGTTAGATTAGTTAGTAAGGCATATGTTTGTTAATGGGAAAGGTCTTGAGTTCAAATCTTTGTATTAACATAGTTTTACATATTTTTGAGTCATTCTCCTATGGCTTCAACACAGTCAGTGTGTTTTATTTTTCGCACATATCCAACAATATTTACAACTATATTTCTTAAGTAATAGTTAAAAAAAAATTCTTAAGTAATTTATTTATTTTTTTTAAATTATCTCTTTCGTTTTAATGTTTCGCTTTAACTGGAAAAAATTCCTGAATCCGTCCTACTTTTTCGCCCCCTCAATCCAATTTCTGGCTCCGTCCCTGGTTTTAGTGAGAGAGGCAATATATATTGTTTAGTAAAGTTGACTAAGAAATACTTGTGTTTATACATGCAGCATTTCAAAGAAGAGATTGCTACAATGAGCAGAAATGTAGATCTTCTTGAAAACACCAAAAGGTTTAGTTTCCTTATGGTTTGAGACCTTGCAGATCAGTTAAGCTCAAGAATGTGGTGTTTAAGAAGCAAAGATTAGCTTTAATTTGGTCATTCATGTTCACAGAAAGCTTCTGGGGGAAGGTTTAGAATCTTGCTCTACTGATGAGCTGCAACAGATAGAAGAGCAGTTGGAGCAAAGCTTGAGCAACATTAGAGCAAGAAAGGTATATTATATACATACATACATGTATATATATATATACATACATACATGTATATATATATATATACATACATACATGTATATATAAATAAATAAATATATATATATATATATATATATATATATATATATATAGGGCTAAGTTTCCGTGCGGCCAAGCCTTAACGTGTGGTCAGTGTGGCCGCACCATTGGATAGGTAAATGTATATATATATATACATACATACATGTATATATATATATATATACATGTATATATATATATATATATACATACATGTATATAAAAATATATATATATATATATATATATATATATATATATATATATATATATATATATATATATATATATATATATATATATAGGGCTAAGTTTCCGTGCGGCCAAGCCTTAACGTGTGGTCAGTGTGGCCGCACCATTGGATAGGTAAACATGCACCAAGAGTGGTACGAAACGCACAACAAAAAAATTGCACCAATGTATCAAAAATGCACCGTTAGGTAAGAATCACCACAAAACGTACCACACAATGTTCGAAAACGCACAATTAGGTGTGGAGAGGTATGATGCATTTGTTTTGGGTGTGTGGTGCATTTTAGTATTGTCTGTTTTTACATACCTAATGGTGAGGCAGTACCGGTCGTACGTTAAGACATGACCGTATTTGAGCTAACATCTATATATATTACTATAAACATTCACAAAGTTCCATGAAACATGTATACCAAGTTACCAGATAATAATAACCACATGACAGTGATGCTGATGACAAATTGTTGACTGATGCCATTGTTGTTTATCCCCAGAATTTTATATACAAGGAAAGAATTACTAAGCTAAAGGAAGAGGTATATTTATTATTATTATTATTATTATTATTATTATTATTATTGAGATGCATGATAGTGATAATTGATTTCTTTTGTGTGACCATGACATGATCAGGAAGAAACCCTAAGAAGGCATAATGCTGAATTGAGGAAAAGGGTGAGAATCATATTTGCCTTCTCTTTTGTTCTTCTTACCTTTTTGTTTATCCCATTTTTTTCATTTTAATTTCCGAAAAAAAAAAAAGGACTGCTGGAAAACGTAGATAAACTTTACCCTCTGCATTTTCGACTTTTAGAGAATAACTTTTACAAAATTTTCCAACTTTCTTTACAAAGAAAATTTAGAACCGTTTTTCAATTATTTTTGTCGTACATCTAATCACACCTTCCACTTTCTTTTTTAGTTTTGAAAAATTTTCCCATTTTTTCACATACTGAATAGACAATTACTACATTTTTGTACCGTACCATCATGTGATTAAAGGGTCCATTTAAAAACTCGTAAAATCACTTTCAATTTTTTTTTTTTTTTGTTTGGTTATTCAAAAAAATAAAGTCAAAATGTTTATTTTGGTCAACAAAAAAAATGCTCAATTTGGTGAAAATGTTAGATTTGTAGTAGTATATTTTTTGGATTCTCTATTTTTTTTTTTTATACTTATCTTTTCTCTCATCTTTTTCAAGCTAATTTCCAAATTATTATTACCACCACCACCACCATTACATCACCATCACTACCACCACCATCACCACAACACAACCACTACTACTACTACTACGTACATCACCACCACCAATTAGTATTATTATTGTTGTTGTTGTTGTTGTTGTTATTATTATTATTATTATTATTATTATTATTATTTTATAACAAATAATATGTTCATTTTTAGTAATATGAACCAAATAGAAAAAATGTAATTTCTAACTTTCAACTAAACAAAAAAATATAATTTTCTGACTTTCAATTCAATTAAACATTAAAATATTAACCAACACTATGTGGTCTAATGGTATTCGGGTTGGACTTTCATTTGGAAGATTGTGAGTTCAAGTCTTAGTGGAGGTGTTATTGGTTCTTTGTGTTTTAGTAGGTTGAGAAAGTATATGAACAGATACTACATTGTAATAGAGTCAGTAGCATTCAAAAAACATTTTCCAGTTTTTTAAACGGACCGTAAATGTTAATACAACTTTTCATATTTATTACCTAGACATAAATTGCCAGATGCCGTCACAGATAAATCATATGAAACTACATTAGGTAAATCCAATAACATACTCTTATATTAAATAATGATGAATTAAAATAACTTGTCTTTAAATTAAATTAATTTTTGAAAACATGAAACATTTGGATCATGGGAAATATTGAAGTAATAAACATTTTGTTGCCCTATCTACCATGTGATATTAGCTAGCTGATGAATAATTATTGATGATTTGATGAACAGCTTGAAGTAAAATCCTTGACTCTCTCAACAGTACAACAAGATATTGATCCCCAGCAGAAAATAATGGAAGTGGAGACACAACTATTTATTGGGCCTCCAGAAAGAAGCCCTCATTAGAGATTATTGTATTTTTATTTTCATGTTATTATTAATACTAGTGTGGTTTTCAAATTTAATATATATTTTTATGCAGTTTATGAACCTCTAAAGTATGTGTAAGTTACAAGCTTTACTAATTACTACGGAGTATGAGTATGTGGACTACTAATCAACTAGATTATTCGTGACAAGTTTAGTTGATTCGGGGTATTAAGTTTTAGAATGTAAATGGGATTTAAGTATATGATATTTGGTGGAAGTCAAATAATAGAGTAACCAAGAATGGTATGCCAAGACCTATAGTTAGTAGACAATTTCCTCTCAACACTTGTCAGTCCCGAATGAACAACATTTTTATATAAATTATCAGTATTAAATGCTTACAATTATGTCAACAACTATAATTAGTAGTGAAAGTGAAATTTTATTTTTTCTTATATTTGTGTAGTAGTTAATGTCACATTTTGATGGCAGGGTACTGAACTTAACTCTCTAAGTCGTTGCCAATAGCAAAATGTCTATAATTAAAGTAGCAAAATTAACAAGACTAATGCTAAAATAAAGTATGGTATACTTGCTTCCACCAAAAAAAAAAAAAAAAAAAAAAAAAAAAAAAAAAAAAAACAAAGTATGGTATACTTGCATGTATTTATTTAGCTACTTCATACATCTCATTTTATATGCATGATTCACTTAATGAGGTTTGATTGGAGTTATTTAAAATTTAATTTTTCATAATATTATGTTTAATATTAATATACATAATTTGTATGTTTAGGATTAATTACATTAAGGGGGCGTTTGGTTCAAGTTATATAACATATTATCTTAGGGAATGTCACATTCCCTCCACATAGGATTTTTATTATGTTATGTTAGCATATAAAATAATTTTGTTTCTCAAGTTCAAGATTTTAGTTAATATTTTAAAATCATTTAATTATATATGATACCGTTATCTTATTTATTTATTTTAATTTTTAAATTTATTAAAATATATGAAAATATGTTAAGGATATTATAGTGTGAATAAAAGATAACCCTAAACCAAACATGATTATATTACATATCCCAATTTTAACCAAACACAGGAATCTAACATTCCCTAAGGTAATCTGACATTTCGTGAACCAAACGACCCCTAAAAGTAAAGTACTATTAACAAGAATTTGTTTTAAAAATTAAATGAGACAGAGTGAGTACTATTTATACAAGTATTTATCCTATCGGGATAATAATGGTTATAGAGAATCGGGGACGGAGCCACAAATTCTGTTGGAGGGGGGGGGGCGGGGGGGGGGGGGGGGTGGCGAAGAAGTAGGGGCGAATTCAGAAATTTTTTTCAATAAAGGCAAAACATTAAAACAACAGAGATAATTTAAAAATAAATAAATAAATTACTTAATCACATCGAAACTTTATAAAAATATTCATAACAAAATATGAAACACGAAGCCATAGGGAAGGAGTAAAAAAAACTATAAAACAATGTTGATACCAAAGGATTCAAACACTTGACCTTTATTATAGCCAAATTAAACATGAGCTCTACCAACTAATCAAACTCATTTCTTATTAATATTTAATAGTTTTTTATACTAATACTAAAACTTGTACTATATATACATATATACATACAAAAGTTATATATACAGTGGGGTGGGGGAGGGGGGCAGCTACCCACCTTTAGCTCCGTCCCTGTAGAGAATATAATTCTCGTCTATTGTGTGGTACTGACGGCTTCAGCGTGAACATTGTTGGTCCCGATAGATTGTGTGGTGAGTCTAGAGGGGGGGGGGGGGGGGGGGGTGAATAGACTCACGTTTTTCTTTAGTTTTTAAAAGAAAAACCCTGACAACACTTTTGAGTAAAATAAGCACAACAGAAAGATTATAAAGTGAGGGTTGCACGAGTTTGATAAAAAGTTAAGAGGAGTGATGAAAAAGATGATATGCAAGCAGTAAAATAAAGCAGTAAGTAAAGAGAAGAGTGAGACGAGATTTTATAGTGGTTCGGCCAAATGTTGCCTACTTCCACAACTGCTGGAAGGATTGCACTATCACTCTTTAGTACAATTACACAAAGACTTCCTTGATCACTAAGCCGGACAGCCTTTGAAGGTTTTTCAACTCTGAGAGTTTACTCCGCCTCTATCAACTTCTTCTTCTAAGTTGAGGTTGGTAAGAAAGTATTTGTTGATTCCTCCAACTGTGAAGTCTTGATGGTGTGGGATGATTGCTTCAAGAGTGCAAGACTTCTTTCAAGATGTAGGGCAGTGATGGATGATCTACTTCAAATTCCTTAACACCTTAATTAACTGGTTCGCAAAAAGCTTTGAGATTGTTAACTTTTCAAGGACTTTTTGCAAGAGAGTGAGTAGAGTGATAATGAACCAGCACCTTCTTAGTTGATGAATGTTGGTTTATATAGGTGATGAAAATTCATCCGTTGGAGGGAGATGAATTTTTCGAACCTTTTATCTGTTGGACAAGGACCATGGAGCCTCATGCATTTAATGCTCCATTGATGGGTTTGTACTATGTAGCCGTTGAAGGTATGGAGGATTTGATGGCTTTTGTCTTTTAGCTCCAGAGAAAGTACAACTTCATTAAATGCTCTTTGGAGAGCGTGTCCCATGAGTTGAGGTCCTTATTGTCCTAGGATGTTGTCAAATCAGACAGGTAGAACATTCTTCTTGTTGATGAGAAGAAGAATATTTGTTGGGATAGTCTTGAAAAGAACTGTCTTCTTAATGACAACTCCTTCTTTCGTTGCTGTGGAGTCTTCTTTCGTCTTGATCAGCCTATCTTCTATTCATAACTCTTTTCGTGTGTTTGTTCTAGCTTAACACGAATTACATATGAGTTATGGCAACTTTCGTTTAGAACGAAAGTAGCGATACAAGAGAAACGTAAGAGTTAGGGGTCTACTTTCTACATTACATTGGTATCATCAAAATCCTAATACAAGGTTCCTAACAAACATATGTCATTTTTTTTAGATGATGCAATTCCAAAAACGACGTCGTTTTGCTTAATTTTATTTTTTCGCCGCGCCCAGCTGTAATATACATTTTTATAATTCATAATGTACATTATTCTTAAGTATAATATATATTATTTTAAAACATAATGTACATTATTTTAAAACATAATGTACATTACAATATATATTTCATTATTCTAAACACGTAATGTACATTATTTTAACATATAATGTACATTATTCTAACACATATTATATATTATTTTAACACATAATATACATTATTATAACACATAATGTACATTATTTTTACTCATAATATTCATGATGATGTTTTGGACCATGGTCTACACAGCTGTGTGGGCCACGGTCCACACAATAATTTGCCTAGATGACGTGCACGGGCCTTCACATTTGGGTCTCTTTATTAAATGTATCAATATTTTATTAGGCTGCTGGCCAATTAGAGATAGAGATAAGTTATTGACAAGAATCAGATTTATGATTTTTTTAATATGAGAATCATGTTTAATTTACTCGTTCATCTATTTTGGGGTACTAGCCAACCACTCTTCTTTTCAATCATTATTGGGTGGACCACGACTCAAAAACACATAAAGTATATTATTCTAACTCATAAAATACATTATACATTATTCTAACTCATAAACTACATTATTCTAACTAATAAAATAGATTATCTTACTCTAGGCATTTCATTATTCTCATATATAACTAGTACATTTCATTATTATAACTCATAAAATATATTATCTTACTAAAAAATGCTAGGTACTTTCTCCTTCATTACATAACTTGTAACTTTTTTTTTTTTTTTTTGCTACTGCCAAATGGAAGAAACGAAGGGGGAGTTGAAAATTAAAATAAGTTTTTGTCTGCTGAAAAATGACTAAAAGTTTTTTACAATATACTAGTAGATACGTGCATGATATATAATTAACAAGATAAGGTGAAATGATGAAATTTTATACTTGTCACATCACTTTTTTTCGCTATTATTAGGGATGTTAACGAACCGAACATAAACGAACGGAGGTTGTTCGTGTTCGTTTGTTAAGGTTTTTAGAGTGATCATGTTCGTGTTCGTTTGTTAAGATTTTTGAAAATCCTGTTCGTGTTTGTTTGTTAAGCGTTCATTAGTGTTTGTTAACGTTCGCGAACACGTTCACGAACATGTTCGTTCACGTTCATAAACACGTACGTGAATGCTTAATAACAAAACATATGAACATGTTCATAATCACAATTCGTTCGTGAACAAGAAATAATATATGTTCATAAAAAATAACCAAACAAGTAACATGAATACAAAGAAATACTAAACGAACACAAACGAGCTTGTTCACGAACATTATTAAACGAACACTAAACGAGCTTGTTCGCGAACTTTATTAAACGAACACAAACGAGCTTGTTCACAATCTCTTAGCAAACGAGCTTACAACTGTTCAGACTCTGTTCGTTTATAAACCGAGCTCTAAATTTTATTTGTTAATGTTCGTTTATCTTAAAAACAAACATAAATGAACGCTTACCGAACACGAACACGAGTAGTTTACCGAAAGCTCTGTTCGCTAACACGCCTAGCTATTATACACCATTATCTTTTCTTAGTAGTTCAATTCAATTATATGTATACACCATTATCTTTTCTTAGTAGTTCAATTATATTGTAACTGTCATCCTAACTGACTTAATTGTATTGGCCGAGAGCCCTATTAAATCACACGATCCTAACTGACTTAATTGTATTGGCCGAGAGCCCTATTAAATCACACGTCCCTAACTCTCAAATTGTTCACAACCTCACAACCTTACCCTCTTTTACTCCTTGAACTATTCTCAACAAGTTAAGTCCAATGAATTCAGTCCATTAGGTTAGAGTATAACCACAATAACCTCTATTGGTCTCAAGCTAATTAAACCTCTAGCTACCACCATGAACACTCATAGCAAAATAGAAATTCGAAATTTGCATCATCTTATTCAGGTTCTTAAATTGCTACCATGCTGCATCCACCATATATTTTCTTATTTTCAATAATAATAATAATAAACACATTATATATTGGGGTTATAGGTTAGTTATTTCTTAAAATATAAATATTAAATTTATAGAAATATTTTACATTATCATCATCATCATCTTCACAATCATCATCATTATTATTATTATTATTATTATTATTATTATT